TGTGAGCCAACAAAATCTTAGCAGGTATGTCACCTTTAAGAAAATGTTTCTCTTCCTCAATAAGGATTTTTGTAGTGGTTCATTCCCCCTACGGTGTTCAGGCATCCTTTGGGGGAATTCTAGAACTGAATACACACATGTACATGGAAGTCTACATATGTGTCCAGTGAAACTTCATGAAAGAAAGAAGGGAAACCATGGAAGAGAACAAGTAAGGCCACGAAATAAAAGTAACTCACCTTTGAAAATTATCACTCAACCTTCCGAAATGTCAGCATACTTTAAATACTCACTGTGTCAAGGGATTATTTTTCAGACTATGTACCTGCCCTCCTCAATGAGCTTATAGGAAAGGCCAAAACAGTGGTCTGATGATTCTCATCTCCATTCCCAGCAAACTCAATCCCTCTAACTTGATCTTTCTGAGACAAACCTGTGAACTTTCCAAAACATACTGAAAGCTCTCCCATCCCATCCTTTCTCAATTCATCTTGCCTCTTCCTCTCCTCAGCCTACTACCCAGAGAAGCACACATCTGTCCATCTCTTCCTACCCAAGCGATGATGTGTGGCAGGACTATATACTTAGGTGTATGGATCTATCAAGACAGAGAAATGGCTCTATCACTTTACTCCTCCAGAATTTTCACCGCCACCTCTTTTCCCAGTCAAAGATTCACAAGAGAGGGAAGAAGCTAGGATGGTGAGACAAAATGGCACCTTTCGAACATAGGTAGCTACCCATGAAGTTCATTATCCCTTCCCTCTACGAAGAGGTGGTACAACAACCTGGGAAGAACAAAACCTCTCAAGTCAACATCCTGGTTGTAGGACTTGCTCTTCATCTATTGGCCTTTATCTTGGACTACTCATGTCCCTACTCTTGGGCCTCAGAGCCCCCAACTAACAAGTGAAGGTGACGACCACATCTATCTAACATACACATCTTTTACAAGCTAACTCATATGAAAAACACCTTATCTGGATGTCACTCGCTTACTCATTCTCCTTCCTTATTCCACCCTGGTAACTGTTCCTTGATTTCCTGGCATGGCCATAGGAGTCACTTTATAACCCGCTGAGCTTCAGTCGCCTTGCTTAGAAGACAGAGGAAGTATCTATCTTACAGAGTTATTTTGAGAATCAGATATCCTATATGTAAAGTGCCTACCACAGCTTGGTAAACAGTGACTATGATGATTAATAAAGCACCACAAAACTCTCATTTTGACTACAGCTACACAAGATGCGGTACTACCTAAGCTCTCCCAGGTTATGAAGTTTTCTGTGAGGCCAAGCCTCCTCCGTCAAATACAGACTGGTTTTGCACCAGCACACGGGGGAAAGGCTCTCTTCCACACTCTCATCAGAGAGGCACAGGATGTGAGCTGGAGCAGGCGAGAGCCACAGAAGTTGCCTAAGTGGATGAACGGCACTGGGTCGTGATGATTTATATTAAAGAATGCATTTTGAAGACTGAAGACTAATTATGGTTAACTGAGGTAAGGTCCAACCCCTGCACTTTTGAATCTTTGATTTACAAACATTAATTTTCTTGGTTCAATCTCCTACTGAAACCAACAAAACAAAAGTCCAGGCATTCCTGGAGTCTCTGAAGCAGAACCGTCATGGATGCTAGCCCACCCCAATCATTAACCACAAGGCTCCCAGTACAGCCTGTCCTGAGGCTGCCCATGGAATGACAAGGGGCAACTTTTGAGAATCCCAGGATATTTCTGAGGCAGCTTGGTTTTAAATGCTTTCACCCTCTGCTTATATCACATTCCCTTCTAGACATGGTCACTTCCAAAGGCACTGTTTCTAAGTTAATCCTTTTCTCTTCCATTCTGACAGCACGGGGATAAGAAAGCACTAGATTCACTTTTTAGTTGACGTAAGTATTGGTAGGTTTCTGCTTAATCTAGTTTTCCCCTTTTTGCCAAACCCTATTTTCACATCTCTTTAAACAAGCCAGCATTGTGTACGTGTATATGTGTCTATCAAAGAGCAGTGATGATAAAGACAGGATGGGGTATTAAAAGAGAGAATACTAACAAGGCGGATCAGGACAAAGAAAGCATATTGTGAGTAAAAGAGAATATTTCCAACAAAATATGAGAGGCAGAAAATCCAAGCCTTCAAAACCTCCTCCCTGACTTCCCGAGCGACCAGAACTTACCAGTACTAATTAGAAGAATGAACGAGAAATACAATCCACCTTAGTTTTAAAGACTGACAAAAATCATTAGATCATCCTACAAGAGACTGGAGATCACAGTTCCGGCACAAACAGGCGACTGGGCTGAAAAAATCCAGTTTCTTGGTGTTTCTTCCACTATATAGAGGTAACATGTCTGGATCTTGTAAGACGTGGGATCCATTCTTAGTGCTAACATCCCTATAAGCAGGGACAGTATCTGTCTGGTTCACCACTTCACCCCACCCTCCAGGACCATGCCCGCCATCCTGGAAATGCCTGTTGAACACATGACTACTTCTCCATCCACTTCACCTCTTCTGACACATCACACCCATCCGTAAAATGAGGTAGGTGGACCAGGTCATCCCTAAGGCCTACAGTTCTGGGACTCTGTCTAGCCAACAGTGCAGTGTGACCAAACCCACTCTTCCCAACTGGCCATCATCGTCTAGTGACAAATGCAAACAGGGAACGCAGAGAATTCCCAACTCTCTGCTACCAACGTTATTTCCACTTGTCGTTTATTAGTTGCAATAATTATTTTCAAATCCCAAGTACTTGCTTTCACTTGAATTGAGTTTAATTTAAGCATAGCTATGTTATGACTTCTGGCTGTAGCTCAAACTGGCTGTGCTCCAATTTTGGATTTCAAAGGAGAGCGGGATTAACACACTCCCTACAACTCCACTGGACTCTCGAGCTCCTCCACTCGTCTCCTAATCATTAATCCCACATCTCCCCAATTTGTTAGGCTATGCAGGACCCCAGCTACATAGGCATCCGGTCAGTCGGCCAGGCACAAAAACATATGAAGGTCATTCCCCAAACTGAAATGAGTTAGAATGAACACAGAGATTTCATAGTCTTACAGAACAGCAAGTTGCCCTCAAGCAGTCCTCACCACACCAGAATATTCACCCCGAAGAATTAATGAAATAGTTAATCTCCCCACTTTAAAAATTTAGAAGTTTTTAAAAATCTTATTTGGAAATAATTTCAAACTTCCAGGAAAGATAGAAGAATGGCACAAAGAACACCAAGACATCATCTTAACATTTTGACTCCATTTTCTGTATGTGTCTGAGCGTGCTTTTACATGCCTATGCTTGAGCTCTCTCTTACATAAAGTTTTTCCTCCTGAACCATTTAATGGTAAGCTGCATTTATCATGGTCCCTTCCCCCAAAAAAGAAATTAAGTTTAAAACGGCAGCAACAGAAGGATGGCTGGGTGGCTCAGTCAGTTAAGCGTCTGCCTTCAGCTCAGATTGTGATCCCAGGGTCCTGGGATCTAGTCCAGCATCAGGCTCCCTGCTCATGGGGAGTCTGCTTCTCCCTCTCTTCCCAGCTCGTGCTCTCTCTTTGCTATCTCTCTCTCTCTAAAATAAATAAATAAAATCTTAAAAAAAAAATACACACACAACAACAGAAAAGTGGAATGTACAACATTTTTAAGTCCCCAGTAATAGAATTTCAAGGATGGCAGCTGAGCAGCATAGGGAATTTGTTCAGGTTGAGGCTTTCTACCAGCACTGGATGTGTAACCAATCTTATTCCTGGGGGTGGCCTTGATACTAGACAAAGAGCAAACACACACATGCAAACACACACACACACACACACACACACACACACACACACACACACACACACACAC